CGGTTGCCCAAGCAGGTCTTCGATTGGGTTCCTCCCGGAAGGCGACGGCGTGGACGTCCTGTGAAAGGTTGGCGACAAGGGGTGGAGGAGGAGATCAGAAGGTGCCAATTGCCTGATGATCTCTGGGAGGATAGGGGGCAATGGCGATTGGGCGTCGCAGAGCGCGAGGCGGCGCTATAATCGCGACTTTATGTATGTGTATTTATAGGAAAAAATTGGAAATATTCTGCCTCTTTTGTTTCTCAAAATATTTATGAGATATTTTATGGGGGTAAACACGAGAGTAATTTTAATTTTTTTTCCAATTTTCATACATGCTCAGAATATATTTTCTTGTCGCGTGGATTTTCGATGACTTTATTTTTGGTTTCCGTGTGAATGCAAGAAGTAGGTCGAATTTTTATTGTCTTTTCTGCATTATCGAACATTACTTTACGCACATGTGTTTTTACAAAAAAATTAAATTTTAAGATAATTTTTTCAGAAATGGCAGAAGAGAATGACACAAAATAAGCACAGGTCAAGCAGGCTAAATATCTTCAAATATTCGTGCGAGGCTTTGTTTAAATACCTAATGCACTTACATTTCATAATTTGAAGTTGTGTCTCTGGAGTCTTCGTCATCTGATACTTTCGATTTGTTTAATCTAAGGTAATAGTTAATTAAATGTGTTCAATCTAAGTTAATAGTTAATTACACGTGTTCAATCTAAGTTAATAGTTAATTAACAGCTAAGTATAGCTTTTAAAGATATTTTATACATCTAAAGTGTTTATTGTACTAATATTTTGTACAAATTAAAAAAAATTTTAAAAAAAATCCGATACTCTGTGTAAGAGTATTATTGCGTGTGTAAAATTTAACATTTGCTGTTGTTTCTCTCAAAAACAAGGTAGCTAACAGCAGCAAAGACAAAAACTTTTGGCTTCTCATAGCTATTACTGTACTTTTTCGCTTTCCAGAGGGTAAACTTTCCTTGCTTTTATTTCTATTCGACTTAATCTACCAACGACAACATAAGAAGAACCCAGCCATGGCAACGCCGTGCTCTCTGAATGAGGGCGAAAATTGATTCTCTAAATTGCGGGGAAAAAACGAGCTGAATACAAGTTTAATTGAACTTCCTACCGCGCTCAAAAGATCGTAGGTGAGGACGCAGCTGAAGGGAGGCTTTATTTTTCTAGATTTTAAGCTGTGTCAAGTGGCGGACATTCCGTGTAAGGGTGGCTACGACCACGACCAAATTCACCTCTTACTTATCCTCGGCTCCGGAGTAATGGGCGCTCAGTGAGCTGAGACTTGTTGCATCATCTCGGGTGACGGCGGAAATGAGTCTTGTATCCTGCGATTGATCGATTTCGATAGTGGTTCGATGTATCGTTTGGTTCAAAACTATAGAACAAAATCTCAAACAAAACTTTCAGGATTTCAGTCGGAAAAGCTGAAAATGAGAAAATTCCTAACTGTTTCACCTTGCGATGCCATTTGGTACTCATAAGAATCAAAAATCTATCAGAAAAACCCTGTTTCCTCAGATTACTCGATTGACTTTTGAGGCTATGTTTACACGTTGAACCAATCGGCATCGATACAATCTCACCTATTCGATGTATCGAAAACGATCTATTTCAGTCCCTTGTCTATTTTCGAATCGTATATTCGATAATATTTTTGTGGTAACAAATAGTTCGGTCCCGCCGGTAACAATGCGTGGTTCAATTAACAATGCTGCATTATTATTTTATTAACTTCCAATACCTCCGCATAAGGAAGTTTTTGCACGAAAAAACGTTGTTTTGTGACAATAAGTTAAAGGGAGAAACAACCTACTTACCTCGCCGCCTGTACTCTTCACTGTCCATTCTGAAAAAAACAGAGACAACTTGTAAGTATGAATACAAGCGAAAGAGAAAAATTATGGTCGGTTTATGCATTTATTTGCAAAAGCCTCAACATAACATAGTCATTTATACCTTAGAGAGATCAATAAAAATTTATAAAAATTAATAATACAAGGAAAGAATTAATTAAATTTGAAGATTAAGTTGTTGAAAAAAGGGAGCAATTGGATGAAAAACTTCGAAATAATGGGCCTGTTGCATGCAAGAGATACAGCCGCGCGAATAGACTTTTTAGAAGTTAAATGACACAAAAATTACGATGGTAACATTAAAAAAGTCTGAAATACACTCCTTACTGCGCAATTTGCGTTGTTAGGAACGCGCTTTTTCATATTTCCCGCGTCTGGGGGCAGTTTTCTGATCACCGGAAACGAGCAAACGGCGGGCTCGGTGATTTCCGGAAGATGCCGAGTCGTTGTTGTTGTTGTTATTTCTTCCTTCAGTTTGTTTACAAACCCAACGTGATCTCCTATAGTGGTCCCTATACGCTTTATGCGGTAACCAAATCGATCAACTTTTAAATATCCAACGCAATCCTTCTACATTTCCACGAGCTCCGATTTTTAGGTTATGTTGTCAGTTTTAGTTGACCGGAAATAGCCGCGAGTTGCCGTTAATTGTTTCCGTTAGAAAACTGCCCCCAGACGCGGGAAATTTGGAAAAGCGCGTTCCTAACAACACAAATTGCGCAGTAAGGAGTGTATTGCAGACTTTTTTAATGTGACCATCGTAATTTTCGTGTCATTTAACCTCTAAAAAGTCTATTCGCACGGCTGTATCTCTTGCATGCAACAGGCCCATTCTGTTGCGGCCAGAAAGTGTCCGAAACCACTACGGCGGTTAATTTAGCAATTGCTAAGATGTAAAACTAACTGCTTTGGCGGTTAGTTCAGCGTTTTGTGAGTTGTCGCACACTTTTTTACATCTAGAATGTAAAATCAGCATCCTTTTTTTTTTCGGTGTCGTTATGACTTCGGGCTATTGCGTTGTACAGTAGCCGCTCGATAATTTGAAGCTCGATAGTTCGAAAAGCTCGATAATTCGACGGCGACGCCGATCCTCTTGGGGAAATCACGTCAATTCGAAAAATTCAGTGTATTTTTACTCCCTTGGCAATTCGAATTTTTCGGTGAGAAAACGGCTTGTAAAAAGCTCTGCAATTCGAAATATCTGAGCCGGGCGCTCTATAATTCGAGGTCTCGAGGCGGTTGTTTTGATGTACAAACATAAGTCAATGCCTGATGGACGGAGAACTGAGGAATTTACGATTAAATCCTCCGATTATCTGGTTCGAATTATAGAGCGTTCGGTTCCACCACTTCGAATTATAGAGCTAATTTGAAACTCTCTTTATTTCGAATTTTTTCGTAACCGCTCTCCATAATTCGAAATCTCGCCAATTCGAAAACTCGTTATTTCGAAGAAAATCCCTGGTCCCTCCAACTTCGAATTATCGAGCGGCTATTGTACCTCTCTTATGGATCGAAGTGGAGGTTGAACTTTTGCACTTTTCAGTAAATTTCCGACATATTTCCGCGACTCCCAGCGTAAATCGATGAGCGCCGAGTTATGAATCAAAATCGAGTGGGTCGGTTGCCGCCCGTGGAATCGCGACAGATTGAAAGACGTCCGCCGTTACGGGGAGGGCGCCCTCATCCCAAGCGAGGCGGGGGGTGGCGGGGGAATCCTTCGGGGACCCACCAGTAGCCTTTTTACAGATTGCTTCATCTACTTCTTCGCTGAAAGCACCTGCGACTGTCTCGCCTTCCAAGACTATGTGTAATTATTTTGTTTTTAAGGCCAATTACACGGAGTGGCCTAAATGGGCACCCCCACTCCCCGTTTGGCCGGAGTCTACCGTGTAAATGCCGAGGACAAACCTCTGCCTTGAATTGAAGCAACATGTTGAAATAAGGACATGATGTTCCTATGTTGAGGAAAAGTCGAGTTTGCCGAATCAATTGACCAACTGCCGTGCTAAGCAAGAACGCCGTAAATCCATCAAGCAATCTTCCCTCGTTCTGTGGAATTTGACACTTTATAAGATAAAAACTGTTCCATCCATGCATCTCAAATTTTCAAGTTAAGTTCTTGATAGTATTTGCAAAAGAACTCTGCAAAAACATTGTCCCAAAGTACACAAGTTTTTTTGCTACACTGGAAAAAAAACACATTGGATCTAGAGTCCAGACTCTTAAAAACATCGACAAGAAAAAATACTCTTGATTCAATCGGATTTTTGCTTAAATCAAGAACGAAGCCTCTTAATTTGAGCGGATTTCCTTTTGATTTAAGCAGAAATCTGATTGAATCAAGAGTATTTTTTTCTTGTCAATTTTTTCAAGAGTCTGGACTCTAGATCCAATGTGTTTTTTTTCCGGTGTATTTTAGATTAAACATACAAAATCGTCTGAAAATTTTGGGGGAGAATGTTAACAATTATTCCTGTAAATTCGGTTTTTATCGAAGGAAATTCGGCAATTCTAAAGGCTCATACGGCGTTTTTCCTTAGCATGGCAGTTTTACAGACCCGATCCCTGTGGAAAATTCCTAACAACCGCGAACTGCCTTCAATAATCCACCTCCGTTGCACTCACAATCAGTATATTTTGTGCCCGTAAATCGTTGCCCCTCTGACGTAAAGGGCGTATCTCAATTTTCACGTAAGCCCTGTTCTCCGTATAATTGTATGCGCTCTGGGTCTTATGCGGAAAGGAAGATACGCCCTTACGTCAGAGGCAGTAGAAAATGTAGTTTCTCATCATCTTTTTTCTATCATTCCATACCTGCGCCTTTATTAGAAGGGAATTTTAAAGGCAGATGGAAATAATAAACTTTGTTGTAATTTGTATAAATTGTGTTCCGTTTGTGTAAATTAATTTTGGTACTTGAATTCAGAGGCAGATCTAGCAATGTGGCGGCACCGGACTGTAAACCTATACTAAATAATCGACTCTTGTCGGAGCACCCGGCCTTTCCAAAAATCGATACATTTCCGTAGGTTTAAATGGAGAAAGGACAATGTTGCCGAATTTCTGGATCCGCCAATGCTTGAATTTGAATTTCACTGGGAAAAAAAGCACATTAGGGTCATTCCACGCCTAGGTAGTCCGGGGGGTATTTTTTTTTTCCCCCTCCAAATGACCCAACGATATTTATTTTTGGACTCCTTAATACTCCTAGTTTTTGGAAATATATGTGGTTTACCTCCGTTTTGTTTTTTTTCTCGCAATTTTTACGTGTTTTGTAACCCCGTTGCTTAACTTCATCCTACTGTAAAAAGAGTGACAGTTTGGTAGCAATGTTTTCTGGTGTTACCGCCAAAACCAAGTTTCAGGTTATGCTTGCAGTTGTCAAGAAACTGATTCAATGTGCTTCTGCAAAGTTTCAATTTTTAAAAGTAATTACTGTATATTATATGTAACTTTTAAAACTTAGTGTACTGACTGTCACACCCGTTACACAAAACATGGGTTTTTTAATGTAACTATTTTAATTCATGTCATTTTGAGATGCCAATTTTTTCCGTACGTCTTCAAGTCAAGTACAGCTTTGGAATATTTTTTCCAAATTTTTATTTCAACAATTGATGGGCAAAAATGCGTAACGGGTGTGACACGACACGGGTGTGACCAATGAGAAGAGGCTTCTATTATGCAGATGTTGCCTCACTTCTCACCATTTTCTCTATGGTTATCACAAAAAATACACTCATATGCATAATTAGAGGTTATGTATACATCTAATAAGAGAGAGATAGCCAACTTTTTTGCCATATTTCAGTATTTAAAGTGAATACACCTTATCTCAAAAGGACTTCAAATAGAACTCGTTGAACTCTCTCCGATTTGATTGAAATATTTTTACTTTATTATAGGCCCAGACATACCGTGCCAGGGTTTTTTATTTGGTTAATTTGAGCCATGCGAGGTCCAGGACCGCGGGGACGAAAGGCGAATCCTGGGTTACCCGAAGAAAAGCCCTGGGACGGTAGGTCTGGGCCACCTTGTAGAAAAATGTAGTTTTGGCATGTTCTACATTAAAATGCGTCATATTGCTGATTGATTTACTGCTTAGGATTGCCTACAATAAGAGTATGAGAAGAAAAGTAAGTTTTTTAACTTTTAAACTCTCTCAGAAATGATGGACCTCAGAGAGACAATTTGTCACACCCGTTACGTCACACCCGTGACGCAAACGGTGGGTCTGGGCCACCTTGTAGAAAAATGTAGTTTTGGCATGTTCTACATTAAAATGCGTCAAACTGTTGATTGATTAACTCCTTAGGATTGCCTAAAATAAGAGTATGAGAAGAAAAATAAGTTTTTTAACTTATAAACTCTCTCAGAAATGATGGACCTCAGAGAGACAATCTGTCACACCCGTTACGCAAACTTTCCCATTTTTCAGGGAAAGAAAAACAGATAATCGAAAACGGATCATCGGCAGTTGAAGCAAAAACCCTTGGCTTCATCATATAATTTAATCAGATTTTTACATTCATAAAATTCGCTGAGTTTCCACTTTACACTCACTGAGGAAAAACTCACTTCCAAAATCGGTCACACCCGTTACGCATGTCTTTTAATTTTTTCTGAGGAATGGAACAAAGTAAAAACAATTTCTGATAAACTGAAATGATCTATAAAAAAAGTTCTTTCTGCTACTGCAGATAATTTTTTAATTAAACCCCAAGAAAGAATTCAAATTCTTGTTTAAAGTTAAATTGTTGTCACACCCGTTACAATGGAATGACCCATTAGATCTAGAGTCCAGACTCTTGAAAACATTGACAAGAAAAAATACTCTTGGTTCATTCGGATTTTTCCTTGAATCAAAACAAAATTCGCTTAAATTAAGAGGCTTGGTTCTTGATTTAAGCTAGATTCTGATTGAATCAAAAGTACTTTTTCTTGTCGATGTTTAAGAGTCTGGACTCTAGACCCAATGTGTTTTTTTCCA